CTCCACGAGCTTTTTTTTTTAAGAAAGGAAGAGGGAAAAGTGGGGCGAATGGGAAGGACACGCGCGTGCAGTACTTCTCTCTCTCTCTCTCTCTCTCTCCTCACAGGCTACCACATAATTCGTTTTTTCTTTCACGCCTCACCTCCCCAAGGGAAAGAAAGAATCCAACCGCGCGCGGGCGGCGTCGTAAAGCGGCTTCATCTCACCCATTTCCATGGCGGAAGGCGCGTCCGAGAAACAACCTCCCAGCAGCGACGTTACCTCATTCCAAAAGCTAAAGACAACACAGGACTCTATCGTGGCGAAGTCGAACGGGTGCGTATTCACATCGGCTTTCAGCCTCGCCACCACTTTTTTCACGGAAAGAAACACACGTCTGGCGAACGCGCGAACCAGCGGGCCGGCGGAAAAGTGCGCCGAAAGCACATTTACACGGAAGTACCACAGCATTTTTAGTGCGATGCAGCGACTCCAACAGACGCCCAGCTCAAAGTAGTTCTGCAGAATACGGTTCACCGAGTTGAGGGAAGGGCTCAGAAGGAACGGATTGGAAAAGCGACTCGTCAAAACGTTCTTCACCACGAAGGCATCGACTGCGAGCAGGGCACCGAGCAGCTCCTCCGCCGAACCGGCCCTGCGCGGAGCACCCAATCCCCCCCCGCACAAATCTTGCTGGAGGAGCGACAGTTGCTGGAAGGAGGAATGCAGGCGGCTCCAGTCCAGAGAGACGCCCCCGCTGACATGTAGCACCATCCCACACCACGGTATCTGGCCGTCCTCCCGCCGCTCAGCGATCCGCACCATCTTTTTGGCGTTTGCAAAGTATCCGATCCTCTCGAACTCTTTTGCTTCAAATAGGCGCTGATGAATGTATCGAACAGCGAACGGGGAGGTGGACAGCAGCAGCACATCGTCCATTCTTCGCAGGAGAAGGTGGGACGAATGGAAATAGCCCAACGCATCCAACACTTTGGGCTCCAGGAAAGTGCGCAACAGAAAATTACAGAGCAAGGGTGCCACCGTGCTGCCTTGTATGATCCCCGTCCGCTGCGCACAGCAGAACTTGTGAAGGAACACCGCCGGGTGGTTCACCAAGTGCGCCTTGAGCGTTAGGAGAATTTGAGATTGGGGAATAGTGTACCGGTTGCTGCCGCTGTTTTCCACCAGAATGACCTTGCTTGGGATCCCGTAGAGCACCCCCCGCTCCACGTCCTCCTTCCCCAGCACAATCTCGGAGATGGACGTCCCGTAACGACGGCCGGCAAGCGGCTTCAGAACGGTGAAGAAATAGTTGGCGTACGTCGTTTCCCCGTCACCGGTGTGCGGAAAGAGATACTTTTCTAAAGCGTCCCACAGAAAAGTTTGATGAATGCGATCGTAAAAGCGTGAGGCGTCCGTTTTCAGCGCGTACAATTGTAAATCTGTATTAGGACTATTTTCCCGTAGGCTTTCTGTAAAACTCGAGACGTTCGCATACTCGTCCAACAGCGCGTTGTCACCGCCCAAAAGAGACCCGGGCAAACCCTCCCGGCGCAAGTGGGCAAAAAAGTTGCACTTCAACACGTCCAACACAACTTTTAGCTTCTCTTGCGCGGCTAGCCGGCCAGAAGTGAACGGTCTTTTATTGCCGCTATCCGCTGGACCACCCCCGTGCACCTGGAAAGAAAGTGGTACAATCTGCTGGAGTAGGACAACAGCCCTTTGGACTTGTTAAGCAGCGCCTGTCGCGTTCCCTCTCGCAGCACGGCAATCGGCCGCAGTCGCACGGCACAGTCCTCCCCCACCTCATCCAACTGCAGGGTGAGCAGAAACCGCACACTCGCGTACAACAGCAACCCATCGTCTGTCGGGGTACACGAGGAGCTGTCCAGGGGAGCGAGTCGCCCCTCCCGTCGGTAACTTTTCATTTCCTGCCGAACGGCCTTGTTCCAGACGGACAGAGGGGTAATGAGAATATTATTGTTGTGAAGTATGGTGCGGAAAGGGTAGCTGTCGCGACGGAGCCGTCCGTAGTGCCGGTCCCGAAGAAAACAGAGTTCCTCCTGAATGTTGAAACTGTACTGATTACTTTTTGTGTTGAGGCGCGAAAAGTAAAACTGCTTCTTGAGCAAAAACGGTACGACATACTGAGACAGGAAGAAGGACAGCTGCGCGACAATACGCTGCAGAAGGAGCGATCGTCTATTTCGATGTTTCCCAAAGAGAGGGAATAAGCCGGCCACGAAAGGAATCTTACCCACCTTCACTTTATCCAAAAAATCCCGCAGCAAAAACGGTTTGTTGTTTTGCATCCAACCACGAAAATTCCGGCTAATGCTGGCGATATTTTCGTTCGCCGAATCGGTGTCCACGCCCCAAAAGGAAATGGATTTGTCCTGTTCCGAGTGTAGTTTGGAAAAACACTCCCGGAGATACAGCTCCACCTCGTCCAATGAAATTAAGCCGTCCAACAGGGACGTGGGCGACTGGTACAAATTTTTCCGTTTGTGGAACAGCTTCAAGAATATTCCCCGCACGTTGAGGTGGCACACTTGGTGCAGGAGGCTCTTTATCGTCCCCCTCAAGTGCTCTGTCAGGCGTCCCTCGCCACGAACTGTGAAGGGGAAAATGTGCCGCAGCATTTCATCCGTGATCCGGACCTCCTCTGCGGTTGGGAGCGTCACCTCATCCGGAATGGCTTCCCCCCTCTGACGCTTTTTGCGATGACAGAGCATTCTATTTTTGTGGGTTTGGTACAACTTGCGGAAACTGCGAGGGTGCAATGTGTAATAGAGCGCGTCCATCGCATACTCTATCTCGCGGGCGACGGCGGTGGGAGAAAAGAGGGGGCCGGCGAGGTTCTGCCGGCTGCCCTCAAACAGGATCGCGTTGGAGACTTTGATACCGTGCTCCACCGAGGAAGAAGAGGGAGTGGTCGTCTCCCCACGGACTCGTTTGAGGCGAGTAGCGCTGCCTTCCGGCTGAGAACGGTATCTTTTTTTGGATGGACCGGTGCTTGGGACGTCCTTCACCACGCTGGGGCCGTACACCTGCAACACCCCTCCGCCGAACTCAAATTGTACCACCATCGGGCAATACTGACCAATGTACTCTAACAAGCCAAACGAAACATATTTCATTCCGTTGGGGCGCGTTTGAATGTGCTTTCGGAGGACACCGGCGGCCATGTCGGAGGGTTGAACGTCAAACTCCACTCGGAATCGTTGAAGCTGTCGCCATAAACACTGAAAGTAGGGCAACTGAAGGAGGTGGCTGGTAAAACTGCCACTGTGTGTGGGTTGACTACTATTGTTGTTGGTGTGACGACGGTCCCCCAAACACCGGCTGCCCACAATGCTGGGGGAGGCATGCAGGACGTACACCCACACCATGAGGGTTTGCTGTGGTGGTAGATAGATTTCCTTCGACTCACCGCCTGCCGTTTCCTTTGCTACAATGCGAATACCAAAATAATCGAGCAAGAAGTCTTTTAAAAAGAAGGCGCCTTTATGCGTTGGAAGCGTGCATAGGGAGGACATTTAAAATCTATCATTATTTTTCTAGGTGTTTTTGTAACTTTCAGAGAAACGGATACAGAAGTGATTCATGTGTAAGCAACAGATCTCATAGAGGGAGTGCTTTTAATAAATACGATGTTTTTACGAAATATTTTGCAGATCAAAGCAAACACATCTTTTCTTCTTTTTTAGAGCAGCCTCTGACAGAGGTATTCGGGGTAGCAGCGCCAGGCAGGGACGTGCACCTCACCCGTCTCTTCACAATAGACACTCCGCTGTTTCGCGTCTTCCTCCTCCACATTCTCGACTACCGTCCCCACCGCGACGCGACAGACCAAACCGTACACCGTGTTGCCAATGTTACTCATAGTGGTATGCAGCGTGATGACGGCGGGGGTGCTGGGGAAGCCACCCATGCAGAGCGACCACGCCTCCTCCTCCCCTTGACACGGGTAATACAGAAACCGTTCATTCATTTCGCTATCGTCGCTGGACGGGATGAGACCCACCACCTGACGGAAAGACGACGGCTGTGTGAAGACGCGCGCGGTGGAGGCGAGGGCTCGCTTCGCCTTACAGTAGGAGCCCCACAGCGGTATGTTGCGGTTCAGCAGCAGGCAGCACGGGTCCGCGGCGTGGTCTAACTGCATTTGATGAGCGGTGGAGACGATAATGGGCACCGAGCCGTACCGCAGGGCCCACGAGTGGGGGTACGTCACCGCTGTCTCACTTTCCTCCACTTCTCTGGGATTGACGCTTTCCTCCTTTTCTAGCTCCACATACCGTCGCACAAAGTTACGGGCCTCCACCAGGGACCATGACGGCTCCGTCCGGCCGAGCAGCCTCTCTGCCACCTCCGTCGTGATCTCGGCGTCGTCCACCATGCGGTCTAGCACGCCGGCGGCACCCTCCCTGGAGACCCTACTCAAATACGGAATGACCTCCGACAGCAGCAAGGCCCCAAAGTCTGCCACATCTTTTTTCTGCGCCTCCTTCAACTTGCGAGGGACATTCCAGTCGAGGCTGAAGTTTCCGTCTGTGCGGGAAAAGAAACCCAACTGGGTGTTGCCAAAGTCATCGTAGGTGAAGGCGCTCAGCCGGATATCCCCGTGCGCCGCGTTGCAGTAGTGCAAGTCCGTCACACTCTGAAGGGCGTCGTGCAGCCACTGAATGCCCTTCATTTCAATTCGCTTCTGAATATCGTGCACCGACTTGAAGCGGTGCTGGGTGGGATGACGAGGGATGTGGAAGAATACAGCGCGCAGGGTTTGGTCGCAGAAGACATCGGTGGGGGAAAGCACCAGCGAGCTCAGACAGGCATCCGACACGGCGAGCTCCCGCCGCATGACCCTCACGAGCGCCTGCAGCTGCTCCCCCTTGAGGTGCTCCAAGTTGTACGACTCGCTGAGGGAGGACCCTTCCAGTGTGCTGGCGAGGTCCGTCAGCGGGGGAAGGGTGTACCGCTTCAACCAGCACGGGTGGACCGAGTTGTCGAGCGGGTTG